GGGCTGCTTATGCACAGGGAGACAGCTCAGGGGGCAGGAGTGTATGGAGGGATGGACACTGGGAAGAGTTAACTATGGGGAGGAAGTGGGAGGGGCACTGTTGCATTGTGGTAAACTGTGGCCAATGACATGAGACAAAGTATATGTAAACTGCTGTATGGAAAGTGAATTTGCTCTGTAAATCTCCACCCAAATCACAATAAAAAAAAATTTCTTTAAAATTTAACTAAGCAAAGCAGCTGCTTATATGTGTATCCATTCTGGAATCATAATTAACTAATAGTATCAATGCAGTAAGGTAGCATTACAAGTGCCATTTTAACAAGTCTGTACCAAGAACATCAAATGTCTAAAATGTAGTCAATTATAGCCTTTGAGAGGGCTACACAAGCAAGAGTAGAGATTTAAGAACTAACCCTCGGCAAAAAAAACCTAATGATGGAATTTACATGAAAAGTCATTCAAAACACTAAAGTTTTACATGTAGTGGAAGTAATTTGCAATCAGAAGAAAAAAATATAAACTTCAGTAAGTAAATACTCAAGGTATAAACCCACCGTCATCGAGTTGGTTCCAACTCATAGCGACCCCTCCTTAGGTTTCTGAGGTGATATCACTACAGAAGTAGATTGCCCAACCTTCCTTCTGAGGAGTGGCTGGTGAGTTTGAACCACCAGCCTTCTGGTTAGCAGTCAAATGCCTTAGGCACTATGCCACCAGAGCTAACTGAATGTATATACTCAAATTATAAATCAAAGAAAGAACAAAAGGAAGATTTTTGTACTTTTCCTATATGTATTCCAGAAATTTATCCAAATAAGTCAATACACAAACAGATATTTAACAAATCGGTATCTTATCAAATGTAAATTACATAATATGACTGGATGTCACATTTGATTTCAAGAGCCAGAGAAATTTGGTAATAATATCCTGCCTGTATCCATTACCAAAAACAGAATGGTGTATTAATATTCCTAAATCAGTTACCTTCGAGTTGATTCCGAGTCATAGTGACTCCACGTGTGTCTGAGTAGAACTGTGTTCTATAGGGTTTCCAATGGCTGATTTTTCAGCACCAGATTGCCAAGCTTTACTTCCAAGTTGCCTCTGGATGGACTTGAACCACCAACCTTTTGGTTAGTGTTGTTGTTGTTAGGTCCCGTCGAGTCGTTTCCGACTCATAGCGACCCCATGCACAGCAGAACGAAACACTGCCCGATCCCGCACCAGCTCCATGATCCCTGCTATACTTGAGCCCACCATCACAGTCACCATGTCAATCCATCTTGTTGAAGGCCTCCCTCTCTTTCATCGACCCTCCACCCTACCAAGCATGACATTGTTCTCCAAGGAATGGTCCCTTCTGACAACATGACCAAAATAGGTGAGACGAAGTCTGGCCATTCTCGTTTCCAAGGAGCATTTCGGGTGCACTTCCTCCAG